TAACTTAATATAGTACCTTCTATTGCTCTCAGCCTCCTCCAAATCCCTCTGGTTTTTTTGCTGCTGTGATCTGACTTCCTGTTAGAGGTTGACTACATGCATTCTCTTTGGTCCTACTGTATTTAGGAATGTAGCCACCACTGAGATTAGTTGTGTGCACAGAGCATGCACATACCTGCAACTATCCTGTACTTCTCTAAGCAAACAGGAACGGGAACAAAAGTAAAAGGGAAAAGGAGAGGTTCTGGAGCTCACGGAGGACAATAAAAGGAGAGGTTCTGGAGCTCACGGAGGACAATAAAAGGAGAGGTTCTGGAGCTCACGGAGGACAATAAAAGGAGAGGTTCTGGAGCTCATGGAGGACAATAAAAGGAGGCAGAAAGACATAGAAAGGATTTCATGAAAAGTAAATTAGAGGGCCAATAAGTAGTAGATGTGTATGGATTATTTTTGGAAAAGAAGGATTTTTCTGTAGTGTCACTTAAAGCTTTAAAAAGGAAATATAAAAGCTGATTGGCTGCCATGCACATCTTCTGCAGATTGCGGCTGCTCATTGTTTCTTACTTCCCCTCAAAGTTTCTGGATGCAATACACTAAGGATATTTGTACAGTAAATCAGACATCCCCACAAACATTCTTTGAAGGAGAATCTTTTAGGTCCATGTGTCTTACATTTCTCCCTTGAATTACCCATATTTGCTTTTTTTACAATTCTTTACTGGATCATTTCTTTTAGCCCTATCCACTTTTTCAAATTAGTTGGGTTGCCATGGGTGATCTGGAGCCTCCGTTTAAATGGGCAAAAAAAGCTGCAGGAATTCCATTACCTGATTGTAACTGCCAATCAAGCATGGTCAATACTATACATGCCAGTTAAAACTCTTGAAAGAAGCCATTCATGCATATATTGTTTAAGCCCAAATATTTTGATAAATGAATCAGGAAAAAAGGCGAATGTCATTTAAAAAGGGAAATTAATCTGCACAAATTATATATATTTTTGTAGGTAAAAAAAGCATCACAAACCAAAAATGCTATTTTAATTCATTTTTAAATTCAAAACAAGCTCGCTCGTCCACCCATGTCTCCATGCTTTATTTTTCTGAGAAATCATTTTGAAAAACCCCCCCTGGCATTTCTGGCCATGGTCATCTTGAGTATGGGCAAATAATTCATGTATCATTTACTTTCTGGAATCCATCTGCCCTTAGCTCAGACAAAGGCGGATCTGAGAACCCTCCCTCCCCTGAAGACTGCTGGGATGTATGACATCATTTTCCTAGGCATGGAAACCAGGAAGTAACTCAAGAAATGCAAAAAAAAAAAAATGAAACCAAGTAAATATGATATGCTTCTAGCATTAGTAAATAGATAGGAAAGTATAAGGATTACAAATAGTCATGTTGAGAGTGAAGTTCCACTTTAAATTCCACTTGAGTATGAGACTATAGGATTTGTCAAACATCCAAATGTTCATGGTGGCATCACGTGAATGACCAAGACCAGTGCTAGACTATTTTGTGCCCTAGGCAAGACCATCTACTTGCAACCCCCACCTAATAAATAAATAAATAAAACTTCACCTGTTGTTCTACATCACCCCTCCTAGCACACATCCTCTTTCCCTTCAAATTTTCTATCCTAGCACAAATCCTCTCCCCCAAATCCTTCTCCTAGCATAAATCCCCACAATCTTGCCTCCTAGCACAAATCCCTCTAAATTTCCCTCCTCCTTGCACAACCCCATCCAGATTACCCTTTGAAGCACAAATCCCCTCCTCCTAGCATCCCCCCTGCCAATACAGACCCCCCCCATCCCACCCTCCTAGCACACATATCCCCCCCCCCCCCCCCCGATACCCCTCGCCTAGAACACATTCCCTCTCCCAGTACAAATTCCTCCCTGCAATTCCCCTCCTAACACAAATCCCGCCGCAATCCCCCTCTCCTAGCATAAATCCCTCCATTCCCCTCTTCCAGCACCAATCCCCTTCCTTCAATCCCCCCACCTAGGACAAATTCCCCCAAATCCCTCCTCTAGCTAAACCCCCCTCCAAATTACTCTTCCTAGTATAAAATCCACCCCCCCCCCCCCCAAACCTCCTTTCTACTCCTAGCAAGTAGCCCCCCTCATCCCCCCTCCTGCACAAACCTCTGATCTCAGTACAAGACCAGCCTGGGGGGCACAACTGAAATCTGGAGGACACAGCCCCAGCAACCCCCTAGATCCGGCCATGGCCGAGAGTAGGGAAACAATCGGCCTTAGCTGCGCCCTAAGTGGTAGTACGCCCTAGGCAGCTGCCTAGTGGTATCACTGACCCTGTGAATGACTGCTGTTTGTTTGTTTGAAATCTATGGCTATTTGTCATTTGGATAAAGGTACCCTTCCTTTCTGTACTGTTAGCTTCTTGTGGGCAGATGTGTCCTGATTTACAATATGCATTGTCAAAAGGATTAGCAGCAGTTTGCTGCTGATAGTGTCTAAAGGTTTGTGATGTGTGGATAATTATCATGGTGTTTAGGTCTTTAAAGATCTTGGGTGGCTAATATTTATTCATTTAAATCTGCATAGCTATCTAGTATCCCTTCAAGTAGTACTTTTTTTTTAGCAATTTTTGAGGTCACAGCTAGTGGTAGTGAGTTGAGCTTAAATGACATTGGCACAGCTTGTCAGGTAGGAATGACCTTCTGCCCGACAGACATAGTATAGTTCTGACCCTTCACCAGGGAAGGAGGAAACAGCAGGTAAGCAAGTAGCCAGTAGTGTGTTCAGGTAGGTAGCCACTGAATACCAATGAAGGGAAATTGGGGGGATATATATTACTACCATTGACACCAATAAGGAGTGTGTGTGTGTTGGGGGGGGGGGGGGGGGGGGAATTCATATTTTTTTCTGACAGTAGTGGATCAAGTGAGGCTTATTATTGCAGGTACTGTCACTGACACCATACTTGGGGGCGAATATTACTGCTGTCTGTGACACCAATGAAGGAGGTTTTTATTACTATGGTCACTGACCGCAATGAAAAAAGAGCTATTACTGCTACTACTGATCTCAATGAAAGGAAGGGGGTGGGGGATATTTACGCTGCCACTGATACCAGTGAACGAAAGGTTATTACTACTGTCACTGACACCAATGAAGGAGGGGTCTTACTGCTGCCATTGACACCAATGAAGGAGGGGTTATTATTACTGACACCAGTGAAGGAGGGATTAATACTACTGACAGCAATGAAGGAGGGAATAATACTGCTGACACTAACAGCAATAAAGGAGGGGTTATTACTGCTGTCACTGACATCCAATGAAGGAGGGCCTATTACTGTTGCCAAAGACCCCATTAAAGGGGATGCTATTATTTGTGCCACTGACAAACCATACTGTCACTAACACCAGTGAAATGGAGCTTTTTATCGCTGACCTGAATGTGACTTCCCAGAAACCAATGTGTGGCGGTCCACAGATGTAAAACTGTCAGTGCACCAAATATTCTAGGATTTATTAAAACTTTATTGTTCTAGACACATTAATAACATAGCCCTGCCTGGGACCTCCCTATCTGATGTATTTCATGTGATAAGCCAACTTAGATTGTAAGCTCCCAAGGAGCAGGGCCCTCCTAACCCTCTTGTATTGAACTGTATTGTTGCTGTATTGTCTCCCGTTATATTGTACAGCGCTGAGCAAACTGTTGGCGCTTTATAAATCCTGTATAATAATAAGCCTGATGGCTTCGCTATTCATGGTTCTGGATAAATCACATATTATTGAATGCTGGAATACTCAATAGATATATCAATAGGAAGCAAAGCTTTGACATTTTTTTATAGGGATAATCTTCATTTCCTGACAGTAGAACAACACCATTGGTGGTAGAAAACTACAACAAACTTGAATTTTGACCACAATCAACCATTTACTGTATATATACATATATGCATGTGGTTTAAATATGCTGGTTTTTTTTTTTTTTTTTTTTTTTTTGAGAAAAATAATAAAGCAAAAGGCTGCAAAGGAAAATTAGCATTTGTGTTTTTCTTGAGGAAGGGTTATTTGTTTAACAGAAACCTATTTACATTGGCTTGCAGTTTGTCACTTACGGTTGGGTTTGTGAGTACACGTTAGTGTTTACTTTAGCACCAAACAGATTAAAGAACATTATTGCCTCAGATGAGCTGTAATGAGGGCAATATTTTCTCTCAAGGGAAGAAAGCTTACTGTAATATGGTCTAAGGAGGAGACCGTGAAAAGGTGTGAACTGTTGTCACAGCAGTTCAGTGCACCATTCCCAAACCTTCATTGATCTTTTTGCAGTTCCGTAAGTGAACATAACACTGTACTAAAAACAACAGGTCTACTTCCTTACATTACATTAACATGCACACTAGAAGAACCAGAGAAACAGCTGCTTCTTCATGGGGGTTCTGGGAAGTAGCCACTTTGGTTGGAAAGTGGCATTATCTTTTTATCTTGCATTGTGTTCTAAAGTTGCGGGTATTATAGTATTCAAAAACTGATAAGGAGAATTTTAAAGCAGACCTTTCATGGAAATGTAAAGTCCTGTTACTTCCTAGCACCTGCCCCCCACCCAACCCAATGTAAGAATGTTAATTTTAAAAAATAAGAGAAAAAAGTAACTGATACTCGCTCACCTTATACCACAGCTTCCATCCGCTTCACATTTGTCACTTCATTGCAGGATTCTGGCATGGCAGTCTTTTGAAAATGCATTCTTGATTATATTTTGTTTCAGTGTGGTTCATGCAGTGATTAACTTGAAGTAATACAATCAAAAAACTAAGATCACAGTACTTTTTGTTCAATTTTGAAACAGGTAGTGTGTTGCACTATGAATAGATTTCAGTGTGGTTTATGCAGTGATAAACTTGAAGTAATAAAATCACAAAACTAAGATCACAGTACTTTTTGTTCAATTTTGAAACCAGTGTGTTGCACTATGAATTGCAGTAATTTGTACCTACTACTAATTTTCGCAGAGCATTGTCACCGCTACATTTGAGGTTGTTGGAAATGTCATCGAAGAGCATCTCAATGTATTTGTTCAGGTAAGAAGAAAACCTTTTCAAACTGTAAGTGTGTGTTTTTTATATACAAATAATTTGTTCATAATTTTTTTTCACTTTTTCAGAATTTGCTCTGGGAAAAGAATATAAAAAACCCAAATGGAATTCCCATGGAGGTTATAAGGTTAAAGGTGGGTTGTTGTAGTGTTAAGTCTCTATAGTACGCAAAATGGTGTATGTAACTGCTATCCTTCTGCAATTATGGGTCAGAATGGCTTCAGGACAACATTGTGGCAGCTTTTAGCTAGGGGCAGAGTACATTGGCTACCGTCTAGACTGTGAATTGGCGTACAGGAGGAGTCTGCCTTGAGAGCAGGTTGGAAGAACATGGGTTGCATCAGGAATACCTGCCAAGCTTTCAAATTTACAGCAAGATAGTATTCCTAAAATATCATGTTACTAGCAATTAAAGTATTACTAAACCCATGACCCCACAGTCACTATATCTGGTCTCCCACAGCACACAGAACTTGGAAATGCAATTATTTTAGTAAATATAAACTGCTAAATACTTTCTCATCAGCAGTATATAGCAATCTTGTGACTTCTATCAGTGTCCACAGAGCACTGGTTAAGGCTTATAGGAGGCGTTTTCATTCTTCCCTGATTGTCCTATGATGCTATATTTCCCCCGACCCTCTTTCTAGGCAGCGCTGATTGGCCCTGTGCTGATCACATGCACTCTACCAAGAAAACAAAATGCTTTAGCAATACACACCAAACTGAGCATGTACAGCTTGCCCCCAAGGCTCTGTTCTATTAGCAGATGGATTGGGGACTATAGAAGAAGGGGAGGATCCGAGAAGACAGGATTATACATCCTTTTTACACAATGCAGAGGATTAACCACTTAAGTTTCACAGTGAGTATAACAAGCATAGTTTACTGCATATACAGACTGATTTTACTGTTGTGGGTTTAGTAACACAAGTTTGAAATTAAGTAGAGAGGTATGCTATTGCTATGCCTGGTTGAGAAATTAGACTTTAGTAGGAGTGTTTAATCTCCAAGTTGTGTTAAAAAAAAAAAAAAGTCATGAGAATATTTGATACAACTTCAAACAATGTTTTATTACTGTTTGATATACAATTTGTCAACAAAGCATTTCATAACATCATTAGAAACAGGGTAATACAGGAGGCTGAATTGTGAGTACAATAGGGGTCTAAACTGCTTCATCAGTACCTTTGAAGCTTCACAGATATTTTTGTTGCAGGTTGTTGTACTGTGGAAACAAACAAAAAAAATAATACATCCAAATTCGACTATAAACAATAGACAATTAACAATATATGACAATAAAATCTGTCCATAAATGCAAAATGAGAGGGGAAAAATATATAAATATGTAACATTTTGTAGCATCCACGAAGATCTTCTCCCAGATCGGTGGGGCTTATTACTTGCCCCCTAGGTTTGGGTTAGACTTGTGTTGTCGAGGTGGTAGAAGGGTAGGAGTTTTTGTATAATTTTTTTTTTATTTCCCCCTCCTTTTGCTGGTACAGACCGACTTTGTCTTCATATATTCTGTTATTTGTCTTTTGTTTATTATGGAATTTGCATGTATTATTTTTCTGTTTGTTTCTACAGTAACCTTCAACAAAAATATCTGAGGCTTCAAAGGTCCTGATAAAGCAGTTTGTTCTGTGAAACGCATAGCCTCCTGTTTTACCTTGTTTTTAATGATGTTAGGATATGTCTTTTTGGCAAATTTTATACCAAAATGTAATAAAACTATTGACGTTTCATTCATAGAAGCTGTTATGAATGAAAAATGATCTATGAATGAAGTATGGACAGACGATTGAAAGGTCCCCCCCTCCATTCATAGGTCACGTTTCATTCATAGATGTTCTAGTACAGCTTCTATGAGTGGAGTGGCTGGGCGGAAAGAGTGTGCATAGTCCTGCACTCTTGATGAGTGCCTGTCACAACGCTTAACCCCAGCGGCACCAAAGATTATGGCAGCAGGGGTAGGGCGGGGCATCAGAGGAGGAAGATTTCAAGAAATGCAGCAGCCAACAGCACAAAGGATACATGGGATTAAGTATTAATAAGTAATGTCTCTCTTTTTTTTTTTTTTTTTTTTTTTAAAACTAAACTTTTGCTTTAAGGATCTTGACAAAAGGAAATAAATGTTTTATCTAATTCATACAACTTGACATGCTATGCATACAAATTTTTCCCTGTTGTATTCCTTTTTGTGGCTTTTGTTCTGCATTAGTAACGGTCATCTTTGTCTAAGCAGGGCCTGCTGTCATTGAAGGATAAATCAAATCAGGTGATTATACAGGGAGTTCATGAGCTCTATGATCTAGAAGAGACCCAAGTAAACTGGCAGGGGGAAAGACTAAATCGCATGGTGTTTATAGGTAACTCTTCTTTTTCTAAATATATATATAAAAAAAAACTTGTTAGGCTGTATTTATAAAACAGGTCAATATTGTAGATTAATTGAAGCATATAAAAGGATGGAGTGCATGTGTTTTACTGAAAAAACAATATTGCCAATTGGCCATACAATATTATACCAACATTGCCACTAGTGCTGGTGGCTCCGTTCATATTGCATTAACACAAGGTAAATACAGAGCCTAATGTTTGACTAGAATCAGCTGTTTTTAACTTATCACACTAAGGCTCCATGCATACTAACATTTTTTTGCTCCTATACAGCTAAATAGTGTTATCCTTTGTGTCCATGCACACTACTTTAGACTATTGGCATTTTTTGAGCTTCAGCTACAAATCAGTAGTGAGACCTCATCTGGAATATGTAGTTCAGTTTTGGGCACCAATTCACAAAAAGAACATTGGGGAAGTGGAGAAAGTACAGAGAAGGGCAACCAAACTGATACAAGGCAGGAAGAGATCAGCTATGAGGAAAGATTAGAGGAACTGAGGAGATATGATTATCAGTGGTTCATATAGTGAACTCAGTGTAGAGCTATTCACCCTGAGGTTGTCGCAGAAGACAAGGGGACACTCTTTTCTGGGGGAAAAGAAATTTAATCTCCATACATGGAAAGGTTTCTTCACAGTATGAGATGTGAAGATCTGGAATAGACTCCCAACAAGAGTTGGTTCTGGCCAGCTCAGTGGATTGCTTTAAAAAAGGCCTGGATTCATTCTTGGATACACAGAATATAACTGGATATAACATTTATAGGTAAAGTTGATCTAGGGAATATCCGATTGCCTCTCGGGGGATCAGGTAGGAATTTATTTCCCTGCAGGAGCAAATTGGATCATGCTTTGCTGGGTTTTCTGCCTCCCTCAACTGTGGGTATAGGTTTATAACTTGTTTTTTTGGGGGGGTTTTATGGTTGAACTGGGTGGGCTTTTGTCTTTTTTTCTGCCAGAGTAACTATGTAGCTTCTAGGAGCAGAAAGAAAATGTAGAGTTTTTTTTGGAGCATTCTTCCAACAGAAAAAAATGCTAAACGCTGCTAAACACTACTAAAACGCTACTAACAGCTTTTTTTTCTGGCTTTTTCTTTTTTTTTTTTTTTTCTACATGTACTGTAAAAACGCTAATAAAACACAAATGCTACTAAAAAATGCTATTACCAGCATTTTTTTTATCCAGCCTTTTTTTTACCTTAAAAAAATGCTAATATGCATGGACACCAAAAGTACAAGGTATGGGGACCATGGCTTCCTTGTACCAAGGCAACATACAAGTGTAAGTTTATACTGTGTGTGTGTGTTTTGCAACATTACTATGGAAGACTGGTTTGGAAGTTCAGGCAAACATGGACCTTGTTGCCTATGACAGAGAGTGGGATGGCAGCTGTTCCTTCAGACACCTTAGTGAAGGTATACGCTGCTGGTGTGCATGGGGGAAGTGTTGTACCTTACAGTTGAGTGAATCCTTAAAGCAAATATGAAGAGGCATAGTGTAAATAAGACAGTTTAAGTTAAGTTGAACACGCACAGTAGGTATTGGCAAATATTCCTAAAAAGAAAATGAATATTTATATTTCCTTACACAGTTAACATAACCTGAACTTTTTTTGGTTAACAAAATCATCTCTCACAGAACAGTTTTCTTAACAAATGTCTTTATTTATGAACTGTTTTTGGCTTTGGAACTATATTACCTTTTTTTATTACAGACATTTTGATAAAGAAGGCCAGTTGCACTTACTTGAAATAAAACAAGTAAAACTTGTTGATGCAGTTCTTCACTCTAGAAAAAAAAAAATTAAAAGTCAGCAGCTACAATTTCTGTAGCTGTTGACTTAAAAAAGGGGCACTTGCCTGTCCAGGGATCCAGTGCCTCACCTGGGCTAGTTCTTCACTAGTCCCCGGGTTCCCGACACTGACATCTTTAGTGTGGAAAGCCAACTGTGACAGCTTGCAGTTTCACAGCTGGCTTCCTACATATGTGCAGTGTGCTTTATGAATGGTCCCACAGCCTTCTTGGACCTGTGACGTATCCCAGAAAGCAGTGGAAGATGGTGTCTGAACTGATCTCATAGGCGATGGGAGCGGGGTACCTGTCAAAAATAGGTGCCAAATGTTGTAGAGGAGAGGGGGAGAACTTAAAGTGGAACTTCCCTTTTGGGTGAAGTTCCACTTGAAAGAAAAACATCAAAGAAGGATTAACAAAAAAAAATGTATAAAAAAAGCCAAATTTCATTTAATATTCTGAGCACTATAAAGCCACCCTACCCATGTAGCTTGAAAAAACACATAAAAAAACTTTACCCCAAACTTGCGGTCATGTGACACTCCTGAGAATACACACATTTTCTACCTTTTTTTTCTTTATTTTTCTTCCACACCCCCATACCACCCCACCCCACCCCCAATCACTATATTTGCTTAGATCTTACTCTGAGACCCGCAGCATTTTACCTCTATTCACTGGCTATTTGTTCTGAGGTCTAATCAGTTTGGCCTCATAGGCTTCTGTAGGGCTAGTAGATGAATAGGAGTTGATCTGTCTACCAGCCCTATAAATGTGTATGGGCCAAATTGTGCAGGTGTGGACATTCAATCAAGAAGCCAACAGAGGGTCTTGGACACTCAAAGGGCCTCAGAACAATGATGTGAGCCTCAGAGTGAGATCTAGGTAAATTTGGGGAGGGGGGTTGGAGGTCTAGAGCTACTGAGGGGGTTGTGGGCAAAAAGAGTAAGAAAACTTAGTGAGAACCTTTCATTACCAATTTGGTTGCTTATGTCTTTCATGTTTTTCAGAAAATGCTTTTTGCACTTTTGAACACTTTTTTTCTGCTGATGCAAAAACATTTTCTACCTTTTATTCTAGTTTTAATTACATGCAAAAATAAAATATCTTTATTATGTCTATTTTTCAATTCCAGGGAGACATCTGGATAAGGACATACTCAAACAGCATTTCCTATCTGCTCTGGGACATTGATGGCCATTGTTTGTGAACATGTTATTTTATTCTGAGACTCATTTTACTAAGACAATGTAGCCATTTATAAGTAATGGTGCTTCAAAGCAGTCCTAAAGTATATTTGTATGTATTGATCCATTTTACTTAAAAAAAAAAAAAAAATTAAAATAAGGAAGAATAAAGATTCTGTTTTATGAAACCCAAGTCATTAGTGGTTAGTGATATATAGTGTAAAAAAAAAAAAAAACAGGTCTCATGAGGGTGCACAGAAAGTGGACACTTTTCTGTTACTTTTCATTTTAAAGCAGGTAATAATTTTAGGACAGTATGTATAATGTATATGCTTGTACATACAGAATAATATTTTATGTATAGCAGGGGTAGGAAAACTTTGATCCTCCAGTTGTAGTTGAACAAGTCCCATGAGTAATTGGAAATCTCCACTTGGACAGCTACTAGCAGAGGCATGATGAGACTTGCTAGAGGGTCGCAGTTTGCCTACTTCTGATGTATAGTATGGTATGCTGCATTTAATAATAATAATTTAGATAATGTCTTCTAGACATGTCTCAGTTGCCAAAGTTGGGTATTACGTATTTTTCCAGTACAGCTAACAAATGGCAATATGCCTATTTGGTGATTTCAGATAGACATTTGTTAGATTTTTCTCACGTGACTAATTTTTATGCATAACATTTTAGATGGTATACACTTACGCCTGAAGTAATTCTTTCTAAATGCATACTCTGATGAACCTGTTAGCAGTGTCAGAGAGAAGATGCCATTTATGCCTAAGGCTTGTGTCCAGTGTATACTTGTTTGATACAGATTTACTTTGCAAGTGACTGTAGCCAGGTTATGGGCTGTCAAATGTTTCCATATACTTAAAAAGTAATTCACTGGCTTTAAAACAAGCCCTTGCTGACCTTTGTTGCAGGTACTTTGGAGCAATTATTCTTCAAAGTTCACAACAGCTCACCCTGCTCCCCTCTCCCATCAATGACTTGGCAACCTTCCAGACATCTAATCTCTAATGTAGAGTGAGTGCATTGTTGGGGAGGAGGGTAAGGTTTGAGCTGCTAAAGTGGGCATTTGTGACAGCTTCAATGCTTTTACTGTGAACTTTCAGGATGAATTGTTTCACAGTGACTACAGCCACCGAGGATAATGAGCACTTGCTTAAAGTTCATTTATTGCTTGTTAATAGTATGTAAATGAGTGGTTGTCCATAGCCTTACTACAGGTTCATTTTAAAGTAAAGTGTCTTAGGGAAAATAAATTCTAAGCTCCTTTTGAGGGCAAGGCTTGATGTGACTGATTCAGCGTTCTTTATGAAGAACTTCAGAAGAGGTATTATGTTTAGACTCACTTGTTTATTTTTTAATTAGTATAAAGTGTCTCACTTGATTCTGCAGACTGTTTAGGATTACCTTATTAAATAAAAATGCTATTGTAACATGTACATTACATACAGTCATTTTGTCACTACTGTGCTGACTGTTCAAGATCCAGCTTTCTAAAAAACCTAAAAAAACTCTGCCATGGCAGCAGTACCACACACAGAATTATTCAGGTCCCTGTGCATTTTGTTCCAGTTCTGCCAATTCTTTAAATGGCAAAAGTCACAGCAGTGGTAGCCCCATAGACTTCTGTTGTGGAGTGGAATACATGAGTTTAACATACAAATTCAGGTACTAATAGGAATTGCATTAAAAATGTATTTTAGTGATCTTTTTATACAAATAAAAAATAAACATAATACAATGTAATACAGCATTTTATTTGGGCACACTAAATTTTAAATAATTATCAGCAATATTGATTTCTTTCAGTCTTATGCAGTTGTCTGTTTTATAGTGTTGGAGATTTAATATGCAGTTGTCTGCTATAGCGTTGTATGTTATATATGCATTCTGTGAATTTAAAGGAAACCTGTAATAAGAATAACATGTACAGTGGGGATCGAAAGTTTGGGCACCCCAGCTAAAAATTTGTATTAATGTGCATAAAGAAGCCAAGGAAAGATGGAAAAATCTCCAAAAGGCATCAAATTACAGATTAGACATTCTTATAATATGTCAACAAAAGTTAGATTTTATTTCCATCATTTACACTTTCAAAATAACAGAAAACAAAAAAATGGCATCTGCAAAAGTTTGGGCACCCTGCAGAATTTATAGCATGCACTGCCCCCTTTGCCAAGCTGAGACCTGCCAGTGTCATGGATTGTTCTCAATCATCGTCTGGGAAGACCAGGTGATGTCAATCTCAAAGGTTTTACATGCCCAGACTCATCTGACCTTGCCCCAACAATCAGCACCATGGGTTCTTCTAAGCAGTTGTCTAGAAAACTGAAACTGAAAATAGTTGACGCTCACAAAGCTGGAGAAGGCTATAAGAAGATAGCAAAGCGTTTTCAGATGTCAATATCCTCTGTTCGGAATGTAATTAAGAAATGGCAGTCATCAGGAACAGTGGAAGTTAAAGCAAGATCTGGAAGACCAAGAAAAATATCAGACAGAACAGCTCGCAGGATTGTGAGAAAAACGATTCAAAACCCACGTTTGACTGCACGATCCCTTCAGAAAGATCTGGTAGACACTGGAGTTGTGGTACACTATTCCACTATAAAGAGATACTTGTACAAATATGGTCTTCATGGAAGAGTCATCAGAAGAAAACCTCTTCTACGTCCTCGCCACAAAAAATCGTTTGAACTTTGCAAATGAACATATAGACAAGCCTGATGCATTTTGGAAACAAGTTCTGTGGACCGATGAGGTTAAAATTGAACTTTTTGGCCGGAATGAGCAAAGGTACATTTGGAGAAGAAGGGGCACAGAATTTAATGAAAAGAACCTCTGTCCAACTGTTAAGCATGGGGTTAGATCAATCATGCTTTGGGGTTGTGTTGCAGCCAGTGGCACAGGGAACATCCCACGAGTAGAAGGAAAAATGGATTCCATAAAATTTCAGCAAATTTTGGATGGTAACTTGATGCCATCTGTGAAAAAGCTGAAGTTAAAGAGAGGATGGCTTCTACAAATGGATAATGATCCTAAACACACCTCGAAATCCATGGGGGATTACATCAAGAGGCGTAAACTGAAGGTTTTGCCATGGCCTTCACAATCTCCTGACCTCAACATAATTGAAAATCTATGGATAGACCTTAAAAGAGCAGTGCGTGACAGACAGCCCAGAAATCTCAAAGAACTGGAAGACTTTTGTAAGGAAGAATGGGCAAAGATACCTCAAACAAGAATTGAAAGACTCTTGGCTGGCTACAAAAAGCGTTTACAAGCTGTGATACTTGCCAAAGGGGGCAGTACAAGATATTAACTCTGCAGGGTGCCCAAACCTTTGCAGACGCCATTTTTTTGTTTTCTGTTATTTTGAAAGTGTAAATGATGGAAATAAAATCTAACTTTTGTTGACATATTATAAGAATGTCTAATCTGTAATTTGATGCCTTTTGGAGATTTTTCCATCTTTACTTGGCTTCTTTATGCACATTAATACAAATGTTTAGCTGGGGTGCCCAAACTTTTCGATCTCCACTGTATGTGGCCATTGCTGGCCTCTTATTCTGAAAATACTTGTTGCCTGGCTGTCACTTACTTGCTTTAATACTAGAACAAGCATGCAGACATTTTAGCTTACGCTGACCTTCCTGCTGTGCATACTTGTTCCAGGCTAGCGACTTAAACTGTGGGCCAGCATACCAGACAATCAACAAGCACTTTCAGAAGACGGTCAGGAATAGCAATTGCTAGATTTCTTTTATGAAAAGTAAACAATCAGGGTCAGTAATGTAAAAAGTGCACGAATCTCTAGCTTGCTCACATCTTACAAAGTCAGGTATTCCATTCAATGAGCCAAATATTCCAGTCAGTTCATGAAGAAACTGACCTGCCCTGTCAAATAAAAATCGTACAATTTTTCTGAAAAAATAAACATACAGTTTTATAAAGGCCCCTATCAGACTATGGTAAGTTTGATCATTTAAAAATTGAAGAGAATTCAGTACTGCTGCTACCTTGCTCAGCATAGGACATTCTCATTGGCATCTTGATAAGCTTTGTGTTTAGTGCTTTTCTTATAGTAGAATTAATGAAGGATGGTTTAAGTGGAAAGTTACTGTTGGATGAAACTACAGCTCTTCAAAAACATGGGGTGAATTTACTAAAGGCAAATAGACTGTACACTTTGCAAGTGCAGTCGCACTCCTTTTCCCCAGAGCTTAGTGAATGCGGTGAAACTTAATTTTGCAAAGAATAGTCAGGTGCAAGGAAAATAAAACAATATTTTGTTTGCACATAATTGGATGATAGAAATTTACCAAGCTCTTGAAGAAAAGTAGTGTAACTGCACTTAGCATGCACAGTCTATTTGCCTTTAGTAAGTCCACAACATTGTGTGTGTGTTTGTTAGGTTTTCTAAAGACCATTTCATTGTTCCAGAGTGCCATCAAATTGCAACAGGAGGCTGAACATTGCAGACCTACAGCAATCATCTCATCCTAGATGGGAAACCTGGAAGGAGATAATATGGTGGAAGTCTTTGCTGCCTCAGGACCCACGTTGGTTTGCAGTGCACCTATTAGTACACTCCCCCCATACAAAATACTAAATGGTTAATAACATTTGAAAATCCTTAACATTTAGAAGAAAAGTCTAATTGAATTTTTATGACCTCATCAAGATAACCGCATCTGCTCTGCCAAGGAGGTGGTGTAACGGCCGGGAATATATCATATCTCCTCTCCTCTGTCTCTGCAGTAAAAGGAAACTACAGTTCCCACCAAGCACAGGGAATTGTAGTGAATGTGGGCAGGTACATTAGAATGTGTCTGAGAGTCTCTGTGTGCCCACCACTGCAAGTGGGGCTGAATTACATCACTACTACCTGGAGAAAGAACTAGAGAAGCGATGTTCCAAGACCAGTGCCTTGGGGAAGAGGAGGCATAGAAGCTACTGGTCTTACAAACCGGAAAACAAATACAATTAACGGTTTGA